GCTCGCGCCCAACTGTCAACGGCCTGTGTTTGGCCCAGTACCCGTACCCAGCCCAGGGCCTGCTTTCCATACATTCACTTAGCCCAGGGCCTGGGTTCTTTCAACCAACTGGCGCTGCACAACTGCCTGAATTTCCTTGAGTTGCGTGGTGACCAAAATAGGGGCCCTCAGGCCCTCGTCGTGCCTGCCTTCACTTAGGGCGGCCGACGTGATACTTGGCAGGGCCTGAATGGGGCTCATAGGGGCATAAGCCTTGCAGAAGAGAAAGATGAATGGGAAAAAAAAAACAAGGAAGAAGAAGTAAAGAAAAAACAGCAAAGAAGAAGAAGAAGAAAAGAAGAGTTGCAAAGAAGAAGAAGAAGAAGAAGAAGAAGAAGAAGAGGGAAAAAAAGAACACTACTTGCTTGAAATCAAGTCAAATTCGAAAAAAACATTTATAGGGTTGTAGGGTTTTGCAAACCCTACAACCCCTTTTTTCTTTTTATTTTTTACTTATTTTTGGACCCCAAAAAAATTAGCCAATGAAACGGGCCGCAAAGTAGGCCTCCTGCCTGCGGCTGCGGCCGGCTTTTCCGGCCGCGGCGGCCGATTTGCCCGCAGCCTAGGCCGCGGGTGTCACATAGCATGGCGATATTAGATCCGAGTAAATGTTCAGCAAGCACTTTCCTCCAAATATGCCATCTCATTGAAATCGATTTTCATTTTCACCTCACGAAATTGAGCATCAGTTCGTATTGATGATATTCATGCCTTTTGTCAAGTTTTGTTACCGTTCTCAGGTGCCTTTCACCCAGGCTTCCAGTCTTTGTGTTTGGGTATGATGTTATGTTTGTGACATGCTACGAGGAGGATGGGCTGCATAATTCCAAGTGGTGAAAAAACGTGAAAATGAAGGCAATGTTTTTTTTGAGCCCAGTTTCGTGAGGCCTCAATTTTAGAGAAGCAGGAGTTTCTACAACTTGTTTTGCTTTCTGTTTTCTGCTATTGGTTCTCTTTTTTTGTGTTCGTTTTTTGCCTTTTTTTAATATCAATTCGCTCAATCCTTGGAAAATATTGCTCCCGGAACTGCAATGAGCACGTGTAGGCGAAATCGATCCGTTGGGCCTTTTTTTTTTTTTTTATCCTTTTCCAATCCGACACCACATCTGACCCCTGACGTCATGACACCAGGCCTGACACCACGTCCATGGTACTCTCATTGCCTTTTCGAACTCGGCAGCTGTTTTCTTAGCCCATGCGTGTGTTTGTTTTTGCCCATTTGGAACTCTATTCTGACTTAAACGTACTTGCCCCGAACAAAAAATCGAAATGAGCTTTTCTGGAATTCCACAACATTCGGGCTGCACTTGTCTGCGGCGGGAACTACATTTCTGCCGTTTCTGTTTACCGCCTCACTTTCGTGTAGGAGGAAGTTTATTTTTGGGCATGCACACTAAAACGGCACCTTTCTCAACTTATCCCACGGGAACATTGTTGGCAGTTAAACTGGACGATTAGCATCACTGTAATAATGGGAGCGTACAGTGCCATTTGTGATGAACCTTTCTCAGCATTTTGGTTAAGATTGAAAAACAAAGAAGAAAAAAAAAGAAAAGCGTAGTAGTATACTGGTATCTAATCTGATCAGTTTCATATCGGATTCGTGGTCATTTGGGAAATCGAGAAAAGTCAAAATGAAAGTAAAAAAGAAAGCCATTCCTAACTTTTGCATTCTTAGAGTGCTGGGGTTCAAGTACATATGGTTGCCCACAGGTAGTCTGAGACGGGGATATGGCACCATATGCTGTTCATGTTTTCTGTTTTGAGCAAACGGTGGCTGTGTCACACTTTTAGCTTAAAATATGCAAGAAGGCCTGGCTTCGAAAGGCACCATGTGGAAGGCAGTTGGTGCCAGGGCATGAGCAGAGCCAGAGCAGATTGGGGTTGTCTTGCTCTGACGATGGGTAACTACTACCGTCTTCACCCGAAAATAACGCCCGGGCATTGTGAACGAATATATAACGCCCGCCGGGCGTTATATTCGTTTATAACGCCCGGGCGTTATATTCAGTAAATTTATGGTAACTTTGGTGAGGCCCCGACATTCCAAAAAAAAAAACATCAACAAACTCTGTAAAAAATATATGTTGTCCAGGATTGGAATGCGACCAACTTTTGGCTTAGGGTCACTTCATAAATCCTTATAGACTCGGAAATAAAAAATGAAAACGAAAATTAAAGCTAAAATATACCCCTCGGAAGTCAAAACCCCATTCAACCGTCTTCAAAACCCATGTATACCCCCTTCCCCGCCCTTTAAAACCCATGTATACTACCTCTTCAATGCATTCTGCCCATGGAACATTCAAATATAACGCTCGTGTGCTCTATTCGAATATAACGCCCGGGCGTTCTATTCATAGGGGCATTCTATTTGAAAAAAAGTGAGTAAAAATGAAAATCTCATCTTTTTAGATTAAGTTGAATATAACGCCCGGGCGTTATTTTCGGGTGAGGACGGTAGGGTGGGTGGTTGCTTAAATTGGGTGGCAGAAGTAGTGTCAAATGGGATGCTCAAAGGTTTCTCTAGGAACCATAAAGGGGTTTGGGACCCCTGGGTACTTGTTTTCGTGACTCTAGATGAATAAACCCTCACTATCATTGTTGTAGGCCTTCGGAGGATGATATGGGACCTGACGTGTGCCTTTTTTCTGTCAGCTTTCTGTATCTCCTGTGGTCCACCGCGATTGAGTATCCCTGTAGGTACCAGATAGTCCTACTAAATTTTTCCCGCCCAAGCCCATTTCTGTTTCGCTGCCTTTCTATTTATTTACGTGTCTCTTCGGCATCGACCTCCTTCCGACCAAGCATGTCACCAACGCGGAGCATTCATTCATTGCGGCTTCTCTATCTTACTTTTGAAGATAGCAGTGTTACGCTGCTACTCCAGTGGGTGTCGCATCGCCTGTTCTGACCGACAGTTTTCAGGACTCCTACCTCTCGGCCCTTCTACTTCTCCTCAATTCGGCCAAGCACGACATTCTCCTTGGACCTGAAGCCGTGCCTCTTGGAGACGGCTTTCAGGTACTCACGTATCTCTGCCAGAACCTTCTACGTTCTAACTGTCTATCCTTACTCTTCCTCTTTTTTTTTTTCCTTCTCCCCTTTCTTCTTCTTCACTTGTCATCGGTGATACCCTCTATGAAAAGCACACACCTCTTTCGCCCGATTAACCCCTCCTACCGGATGCGTCTTCACTACCCTTCAGTTGATCTTGATCTGGGCACATGAATTACTATCTATGAGCATTTTTCTCGCGAATTAGGATGAAGGGTATCTCTAAACCTGTTACTTCCATGAACATGGATATGACACTTGCTTTGGATTCTCACGTATTGGGGACCTCACTGATTTAATTGCTCTTTGACCCATCTCTGTGTTTGCGGTTGCTCACGTATTACTGTCTGTTCTGACCTCACGTGTATCGGGACACTTATCTTTGAGTTTCTTTTTTCAGCAAACTGAAGTTTTCTCTGATCTGAGCGGCGCCCGCCAACAAACGGTTTCGAGGATTATCCCACTTCCCACTAAAATCTCTCTCTCTCTCTCTCTCTCTCTCTCTCTCTCCCTCATTTTTCATCATCATGATTTCCTCTAAAATTTTTGCTACGTGGTTCTCTATCTATGGTTGGATCACGATTGGATCAACCCCTCATATTTGGGTTTTCTTCGGTTGTCTGCTTTGGTGGTTCTGGCTGTTTTCGAATCGTCTTTGGTTGAACTACCTGAGGGACAACCACGAGGATTTTTCAACATTATGGTGTCGCTCCTAGCTCTCGGCTGTCCCAGTACTCGTCAGTTTGAAGGCTGCTTCCCACGATCGAAGTTTCTTCATCAAATGGGCCAACAGGCAATTCGTCAGGCCCTAGTCTTCGGTTGATCACCACCCAAATCCGGTCCTAGTTCTCAGAGAATCGATGCTTCGACTTTCTATTTTCAGTAGCTTGCTATATTCGATATTTGGGTTGTCGATTTAATTGCTCTCTCTCTCTCTCTCTCTCTCTCTCTCTCTCTCTCTCTCTCTCTCTCTCTCTCTTTTTCTCTAGGTGCGTTTTCTTTCCTTTCCTTCACGTGATCGGCACTTCTTAGACTGCGTGTTTTCCTTGGAGCTATGTGGAGAAATGAGTGTGAAGATTATACTATTTAAGTAGTGGAATGTCTGTTCATGGTACGTGCTCGATCGTCCCCTGATGATACCGTCGTTGGCGGACGGTTGAAACGATCGTAGGGATTTCGCCAGCATGGCACTTTGGTTCTCAATGTTTACATTTTTATAAAGTGTCTGTTCTCTTGTGCGTACCCTGTCTCTCATGGCTTTCCTGGTCTTTGCCATTCATATCTCCATCTCTCTCTTCCCCTTTTTCCTTCTCTATGATTTGTGCTCTTCTATCCCGTATCCCTTCCCTCTGAACCTTTGCCAATGGCTATGCGCATCTTTGATTGCGTTCCCATACTGCTGCAGTAGCGTCTGTAACCACTCCGCTATTCGTTGACTGGTGTAGACGCTGGTGGCTTCCTGACCGTTGGTCGATTTTTTTCACCTTCGGTTCGCTCCACCTATTTTTCATCTTTCACGCTCCCCCCTTTCTTCTTCTTCTCTTTCTTCTTCTTCTCTTCATTTTCTTTTTCTTCTTCCCCTCTCCTTTTCCTTCTCTTCCTGTATGGCATCGATTATCTACTGTGAGAGTACCATCGATTCCTCCCCTCGTGACCAGTTTATTACCCAAGATTGTTTTATCGGTTGTTTCTACTGCTTTGTTAAGGAACTCGCCTATCTCCTCGACTCTTTTCGCGGCAACAGAGCTATTCACATTTTTGTGTGTACGATTCCGCTTTAATCTAAGGATGGCGGACGCTGGGCAGTATCTAGGTTTTGAGCGAGTCTGCTATAACTGCAGGCAGTCGGGCCATTTCGCCCGTAACTGCCGTTATCCGAGACACGATGGCCTCATCTCGGGGGTCCCTATTTCTCGTCCCACCATTCCCCCGTCCTACCCTCCTCCCCTAACTTGCACCCAGACGACCTATGCACCTTCTGCCCCTCCGCTTCCTTCACCTCAAGCCCCGCCACCCCAGCAAACAACCTCTTCTCCCAACTCTTCCAACTCCAACGCTATTGTTCCGTTTCGTCCCCCTGCCGTCCCATCCCAAGTTGCTCCCTGAGGACCTAAACCTAGGAGTAATGACGGCGAAGTTGTTTCCCTCCTCAAAGAACTGGTGAACGAGCGTAGGGAAGAGAGGGACAGACGACGCGAGGAGGAAGAGCAGGAAAGAAGAGCAGACAAGAATTATGAAGGAGGAAGAGAAGAAACGTCTTGAAGAGGAGGAAGCACGGCAAGCTGAGAAGGAAGCAAGGATGGCTAGAATGATTAATGCGAAAATGGAGGAACTCGACAAGCAGCATCAAGCCAGGACGAAAGAAGAAAACAAGAAGATATGGAAGGAGATCGAGAGAGTAGTTGGAGATCCCATGTGCGCACACCATGGTAAGGATGCTGTTCTGGAAGCTGGCGACAATCGGAAGCGGTCTCAAGAAGAGATGGAAGGCTCTCCTCCTATTCTTCCTACTCAAGGCAGACCACGAGTTGCTGTCCCGATGACGCAAGGAACCACTCATCTTTCTCCTCTTGATGCTGGCCTGTTACTGATGGAACTCGACAATGTCCAGCGGTCCCAAGATTCGCAGTTTGGTTTCATTCGGCGCATGATGGAATTGGTTGAGAAGCTGAGCTCGTCCATCCACCCGCCAGCTACAACCCAGTGTGCTCCCACTCGTCCTGAACCTGGTCCTTCGGCTCCGCCGCTTGCCACCCAGAAGGACCCTGCTCCTGTTCCACATCCCCCTCCACCCCCTCCATCTCCTCTGCCCCAGCCAGTCCAGCCCACCTCGTCCAATCCGCCCCCTCCCCCTCCCCTTCCCCCTCCCCCTCCCCCCCCCCTTCCCCTTCCCCCTTCACCTCCATATCCCAAGATGAAGATTCCTAGCTCAGCTGATCCTAGTTCCTCTAAGGGGAAGGTGGATGAGAATCGGACACCAGGCGTCAATAGGTCCGCGAGGCTAGCTGTCATGTTTGCATCTGTGGCGGGTAATGCAGCCAGACGCCGATGTGTTTGTCCAACCCAGGAGGAGTTGAGGAGGAACCTTTGGGTTTCGATCGTGTAATCCTAGGAAAGAAAGTTGTTGTTGCCTCTGCCGGAAATGAAGGTCGCGCCAAGTATATCGAAGATTTGAAGAAGGAACTTCTGACGAAATCCAAGTACCAGTTGGAGTCGCTTTGGAAGGCGGATCAGATCAAGTATTTCAACAAAAAGCAAGCATCTACGGATCTCGTGGAGATTAGAGCCCGTGATGCCTACGGCGACGAATCAGAGGAAGAGGGACTTGACAACATTGCTGCTGACGCCCAAGAGGAGAATCCCTCTTGATGATTTATTGATCTGGCGTATGTCCGGTTGCTTTGGCAACATACGTGCCAGCTACGGATTCGCGATCGAAAGATAGGTAGAGATTGGGAAGATAGGGAAGCTTGGGCTCATTTTTTGGTTATCTTGTTAACTTGTTTTGGTTAGCTAGCCTGGGCAGGTAGATTTGTTGATACATGGCTTGATCTTTTTAACCTTGGTTTGATATTTTCCAACCTATTGGCCCATGTGTCTACCTACTCATTTCCCCATCCTTTCGTGCGATTTACATAGGATCTACCTCACGCAATCTCTCTGTGCGATGGCGGGAGCACACACGACCTTCTGCTGTATTTGAAGGTCGCCTTACCCATCGCTTACGCCAATGGTTCAAAAAGAAAGGTTCATCGTCCTATGCTGCAGTGCCGATTGCATTCCCTCAAGCCTTTAATCTTAGGAATTTCGAGTCATCCCTCATAGCTCACTGGTGCCCAACTCTTAATACCCGCCCCCTTCGAAAAAAACAGGGCAAAGAGGAACGTGCTTCCTTTCATCGGTTGGTCAGTCTACATCAGAACCGTCCTACTCATACGGAGAACTTTCTTAAGTTCACTATCGCCCATGGTTCTGCTCTTCCCCCTTCAACCTCTCAACCGTCACGCTCCCTTGCTTCACAACTAGAGGCTTGCCTGTACGAAGGACTTACTGTTGCTTCATTTTTTTGTTATGGAGGCAATACCTTCTTGGATGCTTGGAGCCGTCTTCGCAGGAACTTTGGCTATAGCTCGGTGTGTTTTGATGGACGATGTACGCTTTTGAAATTTCTGAAATTTGAACTCATGAACGGTGGTGTTTTTTATTTTACCCATATTCGCAAGCATTTTAATGCTCGCGACCGTAGGAAATCGATACTTGTGGCTTTGCTTCACATTCCTTGGACGATTCGGTTACTCCATAACTTCTCCCTCGCCAATCTCATCAAGCTCTACAACACTATAGACTTGTTTTTTTCTAGTCGGACTAGGGGTGCTCTTAAAAGGATTATTGGTCCTTCCATTACCAAGGCTGCTGGGTTCGCCTGTCTAAACCCTGTTGTAATCAAAATCAGGTTTGACGCTGCTGTGAAAAAGGGTTGTCTCGCCAATCTTACTAAAAGTCTGATTAGGAGAAGGGTAAAGCCTGCCTGCCTGGCTGAGTTTATAATTGCCCGGTTCCGTGTAGTCTGGACTAGCAACTGCTCCATTGGTAAAACTATCCATAATCACCGCGTTTCTGTCAGGAATATTACCAATATTTGTAGCTGCAAGAATCATCTAAACTTCCCACGTAATGGTGATGGGCATCTTTCTTTCAGGTTCTCTGAATTGACTCAGCTTCCCTCTGGCCACCTTAACTCGAATAACATCCCCAAACCCACCACTGGCACTACGTTGGGGCAAATTAGAGGTGTCATTCTCAATGGTTTGACTAAGCTTCCAAATCACTCCATCCAAGGCTTATCTAATAAAACTCTTCTGAGTTGTCTTCATACCCCTTCTCGATTGCCCTCATTCCTATCACTTTCTCAATCTATTGAATCATGACTTTCGGATCTTCATGAACTTACTGCTATGCCTATAGATCACAACCTTGGGGATACTTATATTTGCTGTCATTTAGTTTATTCGGATGCCATGTGTTTGCTATTTTTGGATAAACCTGGTTTTGAGGTTGATGGCAGATTCAAAACCACCATCATTCATACCACCAAGTGTCAGTTTATCAATTTGGGATTACGATCTCTAGCTAATTGGAAGTACAACGGCAGGATTGGGAACTGCTATGTCATTCCTAAACACAAAGACATCACTAGATGGAGACCTATTTCTCCCTCATTTTCTGATCCTACTATTCCATTAAGTCGGATTGTGGGGAAGGTTGTTAACGCTCTTTTATGGTCCCTCCCTAAAGATCTTCACTTCAACCTTAGGTCCACCTCTATGACCAAGAATACAATATCAAGCATTGATAGCAAAGTCTGACCTGATGGCTTTATAATTTCGGCTAGCTTCGACATCAAAGAAATGTTTACAAAGCTTCCCAATCTGTCAATTCTCTAGGCCGTCATATGGATTTGCAGTTTTTTTAGAAAAAAAGGCCTCCGTAGCATCTGTGTTAACCGATTGGGTAAAGAAACTTCCTTTTCAAAAAAATCCATTGGTAAAGGATAGGTCCGTGTAAAACTAACCCAGAAATCTTTGCGGTAATTTTCGAACTAGATAATATTTTCGTTAAAGCTGGAACTACCATCTTGAGGCAAACCATCGGAATCCCCATGGGAAAAAACTCAAGCCCGGCACTAGCCTGTCTCCTCTGCTCATTTAATGAATATTCCTTTATTACCTCCATTGGTACTGACTTGAAATTCATTTCAGGATTAAGTCTGATTGATGATTTGGGCTTGTTTCTTTTCTTTCCAGGTACTAATTCGAGATATGTTAGAAAGGCCTACGAACTTTACAACAAATTTTTGAGGCGCCCGCCAGCAAACAGTTTTGAGGGTTATCCTACTTCCCGCTAAAATCTCTCTCTCTCTCTCATGTTTAATTATTATGATTTCCTCTAAAATCTTTGCTACGTGGTTCTCTATCTATGGTTGGATTACCATTGGATCAACCCCTCATATTCGGATTTTCTTCGGTTGTCTGCTTTGGTGGTTCTGGCTGTTTTCGAATCGTCTTTGGTTGAACTACCCGAGTGACAACCACGAGGATTTTTCGACATTAAGCTGTCGCTCCTAGCTCTCGGCTATCCCAGTACTCATCAGTTTGAAGGCTGCTTTCCATGATCGAAGTTTCTTCATCAAACGGGCCAACAGGCAATTCGTCAGGCCATCGTCTTTGGCTGATCACCACCCAAATCCGGTCCTAGTTCTCAGAGAATCGATGCTCCGACTTTTTATTTTCAGTAGCTTGCTATATGCGATATCTGGGTTGCCGATTTAATTGCTCTCTCTCGCTCTCTCTCTCTCTCTCTCTCTCTCTCTCTCTCTCTCTCTTTTCTTTCTAGGCGCGTTTTCTTTCCTTTCCTTCACGTGATGGGCACCTCCTAGAGTGCGTGTTGTCCTTGGAGCTATGTGGAGAAATGAGTGTGGAGATTAAACTATTTAAGTAGTGGAATGTTTGTTCAAGGTACGCGCTCGATCGTCCCCTGATGATACCGTCGCTGGCGGACGGTTGAACCAATCGTAGAAATTTCTCCAGCATGGCACTTTGGTTCTCATTGTTTACATTTTTATAAAGTGCCTGTTTCCTTGCGCGTATTCTGTCTCTCATGGCTTTCCTGGTCTTTGCCATCCATATCTCCATATCTTTCTACCCCTTTTCCTTTTCTATGATTTGTGCTCTTCTATCCCGTATCCCTTCCCTCTGAACCTTTGCCAATGGCTATGCGCATCTTTGATTGCGTTCCCATACTGCGTGGCCTACACATCGTGGCCGTCCCCAAGCCGCCGGTGTGGCCTAGACATAGCGGTCGTGGCCCAACCTCGGGCGCGTGGCCTAGACATCGTAGCCGTGTCTGCACGAAAAAAAAAAAGAAAAAAAAAAAGAGAACGCAAAAAAAAAAAAAAGCCCAAAAACGGGTGTGGCCTAGACATCGCGGCCGTGGCCCAGACATCGCAGCCGTAGCTGCACGAAAAAAAAGAAAAGAAAAAGAGGATGCCAAAAAAAAAAAAAAAAAAAACACAACCGCCTTATCGAAACTGCCACCCTGACACCACTGCCGGCCTGAGTTCCAATCGCCTTTTCGAACTCAGGCCATGACAGAGTTGTCGACAACCTGTTTTTTCTGCCTTTGCGAACTTAAAACGTGCCGCGTCCGCCGTTGTTTCTTTTTTCTTTTCTTGTTTTTTCGGTTTGAGGGGCAGGGGCCGTGGCTGGTCAAACGAACCCGGCGCTCCGACTTCGCACCCTCCCCCCTGACTGGCGACCACGGCGGCCGTGGTTCTCGCAGCAGGGGACGTTGCCGCGGGGGATTCATAGCATATGTGGCATTGCCAAGTCTTTGTGCCACAAATTTGTGGGCGTGCTTAGGTGTGCATGATTTTGTAAGTGTGTGTGTGTGTGTGTGTGTGTGTGTGTGTGCGCGTGTGTGTGTGTGTGTGTGTGCGTGTATGAGAGAGAGAGAGAGAGAGAGAGAGAGAGAGAGAGAGAGTCTCCGAGATATTTGAACTGAGGTTGTTTAAAGATGGAGTGTGGAACTGTGCGTCAAAGGACTTTTGGCAGTTGAGTTTGAAAAAAAAAAACAATAGGTCAAAGGGTGGGATGCATAGTTGCGGCGCACCTCGGTGTGCGGATTTGCGCACGTGCAGCGCACCACGGGCAGCACACTGGAAAAACTCAGGTCCAAAAAAAACAAAAAAAAAGTAGGGGTTTCGTAATTTCCTACGACACCCCCCAAGGAAAACATGTTCAACTCGTAGTGCGAGTTCGTAAACTGTCCGCACCCTTGGCCCAAAAACTTTTTTGGGCAAGGGCTGCCGGATTTTGAATTTTGCAGGCCCCTCCCCCAAAATTTCAAAATCGCGGATTGCGAAAATAGGGCTCATTGAGCCTCATTCCAGTTTTCCTTGTAGGCGGGGTGTGGTAAGTGGACTACCCCTTTCCTTCGGCAAATCCCAGACAGTGGTGGGCGAACTTGCAAGAAGGTTGTAATCATCCAGTTGTGCCATGCCCCACACTCTCTCCCAGAAGGCACGCTTCATGTTTGGTGAGTCCAGTCGACCACCAATACATGCTGAAGATTGGCATTCGGGGCTGCATGTCGGCAATTACGGGTTAGGATGAAGATGTCCTTAGACCTCTCGGCTTTTTCTTTTTGTTTTCAGTTTTCTTCTGGCCCAAGGGGCCTCTCGCCACTACTCACCACATGCACAAAAGACATGCCATATGACGGTGAATAGTTTCATGTTTGGCAGAAGATTCATTCTATTGTTTTACATTTGGTGAATACCACTGAATGATGGAACTAGGCCCTAAAAATCACCTTCAGACAAGAACAGGGTCTAGCTGAATTTGTGACCCATAACTCCCCAGCTACAGACCTGAACTCGAACCGACAGAATATATTGGTGGTCTGCTCCTACCTTTCTCATATATGACGTGGCTATTCCTGCTTGCTGAGGCGACGGTACTCAATAGCTCCACATTGACGACGCCTATCCTGCTTGCTGAGCCGCTGGTTTACAAGGACAGAACTTCTAGAAACAGCTCCCGACATAGTCAGAGCCTATGAGCGGGATAGAAAGGGTAAAGGTCATGCCTTGGACTGAAATATTCTCGGAGGACCTCGAATTTAGGACGGCGGGAGTGAAATGGTTTTCACCTCTTTGCAGTAGCAGACGCAGATCCCATGATTCAATCCCTAGACCTCGCCCTACTCATGTACAGTACCGGTGTAGACCCCGAGAGTTGAACCTGTGACCTGTATATTCGTAGACAGTTGTAGGTCTGTCATAGGTCCATAGGCAGGAAGGGTTCGATCTGTAGATCCATAGAGTAGAAGTCTTAGCGAGTTTCAGAAGTCTAGCTGTAGCCCTTCTAGAACGTCGGCAAGTGGTTAAGTGGCGAGTCAAGTGGTGGACTAAACTGCAGTGGCCGAAGGACGAAGTGGGCGAGAGGGAAGGGCGTAGCATAGCGATAGGGTAGAGGCAGCCATAGCTGCCATAGCTGTAGTTTAGTGTGAAGTGTGCGTGTGTGTATGTGTGAGTGTTCAGAGTGTTGCATGTGGAATATCCAGGGTGATCCGATGTGTGTGAACAGTGAGTTGTTTGGGCGCTGAGCCCCCATAGCCAGTTATAAGTGAACTCATATCTGAATGCCATATCTCTGAGTATTGAGTGGGCCCATCTCGCCAGTTTGCTGCACTACTGTTTACATGCATGAAAAGTGTGAATGAGAACGAGTCTGATTGCATTGGTGTCGGAGCTGGTACCCGCTATTCCATGCGCGCCGTCGTGTACATGGCCTGATGCGCCATAGCGGAGGTGGTCGCCGAAGGCTGTAGTCCGCCATAGCAGAGGTGGGCAACAAAGGCTGTAGTCCGCCATAGTAGAGGTGGGCAACAAAGGCTGTAGTCCGCCATAGCGGACTTGAGGTTGGAAAAGTCGTCGTGCACCTGCAAGAAGACCACGACGAAGAAGAAAAC